GTATTTTTACAGTCTATATTTTACAGTTTAAATATATGTTTATTAAATAAAGTCTAACGTTACAACTGATCGGGGATCCCTTTGCTGTGATTGATGAATACAATGTGAGAAGACACTACAAGTCAAATCATGTTCTATTTCTTAAAGTTTTCCAGAAGAATAGTCAAAACAGGGAGATTAAAGACCGGTGGTTTGTATTCTGTGGAAATACTGTGAATGGTTTTATATATATAACGTACACACGCTTCAGCATTTGTAAAAAAAAAAAAGCATTGGCTTTAATATGAAGAGTTTACAAATGACCCAAATTGCACATTTTTTGATCATATTTTGTATGTTTCCTTTAGGTTTGGAGAAGCAGTAGAGGAGAAGAGGAGAAGGAAGGAGATGTTCTCCTCTCAGGACACTGTGACTGTGAGCTCAGCGAGTGCTTTAGSTTTTTAGGACACCTCTCGGCAGCCTCTTCTGAGCCAACAACGCTGTTCTGAACGAAGAAGGACGGACAGCAGGCCTTTCTTTTATCCAGGCACTCTGCTTTAGCCACTGCAGCCATGGCCTTTACCTTGTCAGAAATCATGGCCGCACGACGGCAGCAGTCCCAAGCCCAGTCACACTCTCAGCGAGGCAGCAGGACGGCTGTGGAGGTGGACGAATACAGCACWAACCCTACCCAGGCCTTCACCTTCTACAATATCAACCAGGGACGCTTCCAGCCRCCTCATGTCCACATGTGAGTAGGCACAAATGAATGATGGCCCTGAATGGTATTTTCTAGAGTGACAAAATGTGTAAACATCATTGTTGTGTACAAGTGTGTTCCACAATGGCTCAGTTGGTAGAGCTGTTGCCRCACATCAAGAAGGTTACCGGCTCAAAACCCWGTTGGGGACCTTTCTGGGTAGAGTTACCATGTTCCCTCTGTGCATGTGTGGGTTTTCTCCAGGTACTCCAGCTTTCTCCCAYRGACAAAAACATGACTGTTTAGCTRAATGGAAACATTAAATTRTTTGTGAGTGAGAGAGTTGGTTGTTTGTCTCTGTGTGTCCCTGTGATGAACTTGTGACTGGTCTGGGGTACCTCACCCYTCACACTGTGACTGCTGGACATGGGCACCAGTGACTCCATGAATGARGAAGTGGATATGGATAGCGTATGGRTRGATAAAGCAAAGACTTTGACCTGATTAGTCTGGAAGGTTAATACAATGACAACAAATCTTTAATGCATTTTGGAGTTTAGTCATCCATCCATTACATTTTACCTGCTTCTTTATTTCAGGGCCACGGGGGTGACTGGTGCCCATGTCAACGTTACTGTGTGAGGGACGGGGTACATACAAGTCTATTAAAGGGTACAAAGTCTTTCACTAAAGTATACACTAACAAAAGTATTCAAAAGTTGATTTTTAGAGCTTTACAGCTTCCAGTATGTTGTCAGTTGTTAGCAGTGCTGGCTCTAGCCATTTTGGTGCCCTAGGC